CCAAACGAAATTAGTCTTTTGGAATATTGACGGTTTTATAAGTTCATGAATAAATCCGCCCCTGTTTCTGTGAGACACCTTTTTATTCGGTCCCCATGAGTCGCGTTTACTCCCTTGGAACGTACCTCGCCGAACGAACGAACGAACGAACGAACGAACGAATGAACGAACGAATGAACGGGATATCCTAATCGTACGGTTCATTATGAGCGCGCGCACGCTCGCTCGCGATGACTATGACTGATGCCGCGGCACGACGAATTGCGATGCGCATTACGAATAAATATCGCACTCTTTGCTCCGCTCGCACGTCTAATGCGGCCGCTCGCAGATGGCCACTTGGGTGGGTTTCGAAAATGTGCGCACGCGGCGGTCGCCGGCGCGAAATAACGTGCGCGATTAAATTAAATTGCGAATGCGCGGCTTTTCATCAGATCGCGCGATAAACATATGTCGGCGTGATGTTGCCCAAGACGATCGATTTATCACCACGATCAATCACGCGTCCGCCTTAATTCGCGGGGCGTTTAAGCGCCAAACCGCGTAACAACGCGCTCTAGGCGGCGCTCGAAAACGTATCCGTCAGCTTGGAAACTCGCGCGATTGAATTAAATCGCGTGCCGTCGCGAATGTGGCGAAACGCGAATCGGACGCGTCAAAGTGCGACGTGCGATCGTACCGCGTTAAGCAACAAGAAGAACGGAGTGGCGTTCCTTGGTAAAGCACGCTCAGCTGAAGAATTCCATTGCTCCACTTCTTCGCTTATAATTAGCCAAAAAAATTATTGCATCTGTATCAATAGAATCTCGTCGCTATAGAAAATATCGATCGGTGATAATCAGAAATATTATATGAATAGATGCAAAAATAGATATTAATTAATAATAAATATTAATTACGTTTCACATTAATTAAAAAAATTTTACTTCTCTAAAAAAATAATCATTTTCCCGAGGAATACAGCCTCTCTTTTCTAAACTTTGCGAAATTGATATAAAAGCGAAAGAAAAGTCCAAGGACTTCGCTATTAATTTGAGATTCGCGTAATTTCTGGATGGAGATCGAATTATGTCACGGAAATCGCGGTTACGCTCGCACGGGGCGGTGCAACGTGCCGAGGCGAGACGTGCGAGATTCCGTGGCCGCCATCTATCTTCGGACGCTCTGGTAGCGAAGAAAGAGGGCATAATTAAATTAAATTAAGCTCGGGACGAGCTCTCCTCTCGGCCTCCTTCCGTGACTTCCTTTCCGTCGTTCCCGCCGCCACCACCGCCGCCGCCGCCGCCGCCGCCGCCGCCGCCGCTGCCGTCCTACCGGCGGCGATAGTCGTCCGACGCCGCCTTTATTTGCAAGCAATTTGCGCTCGCGGATCGCGCGGCAAAAAATCCGAAAATAATGCTCGCGTATTAATCATACCTTCCGCGTGCCCGCACCTCCCTCTTCCATTCCATCGTCCGACGTGACGTCTTCTCGCCGCTCTTCCTCCGCGAAGGGTTCTTCCGAAGGGGCCGCCCGCCCCTCCCCCCCTGCTCCTTCGTCGATGTGCCCCGTGTCCGATGTTACCCCCTTCTCTCTCCCTTCACCGCAAAAATGCGTTCCCGTTCGTTGCCGGCGCATAGCTGTGCAATCACGTGCCGAGATCCTTTGTGGTACACATGTATATATTTGTATATATATGTGTCTCTTAGGCACCCTTGCACTGCAACTGCCTGAAATCGAGTCCGAGGAAGCCGGGAAAGAAGCACCGCAGGACGCGTTAGCTCTTTAGCACCCTTTGGCAAATTAGCCTCGGCGACGAAACTCCTAATTCCATCGCAATACACATGTAAGCACGTATACGTAGGTGTTACACGTGATGTATGCAGTATAAGCTTTCCAACGTTGCTGCCAGCACGGTTTTATACCGACCCCAAAGTGCACTAAGATCAAATTAAATGTAAAAAAAGTCAGGTACTTGAACTCGGCATCAAAATGCAAAATGCAAAATGCATTAATCAGAACGTTACGAAGTTAAGAATCTTGAGCTGTGTATATTGAATTATAATAATAAACGAATTTTTCCGGAATAAAAAATTTAGTAATATTTAAAACAGATTTAAAGGCACGGAAGACAAATTCAAAATAATTAAAATAGCGGTTGATATAAATATATAGACTTTTGTCAAACCGTGAGATACTCTGAATAGAATACAATAAGTAATAAAGCGATATCACATTGCGAAGTATAAAGAAACTTTCGTTCTTAATGGCCGTTGAATTCGATTCTAACAATAGAGCAACTCGCAATTTCGTGACCACATGGAAGGTACATTGAAGTGGAAACGAAAGCGCAATTAGCGTGATATCGTTATGACGCCGGGAAAATGGCGGTTTTGTAAGTACGTACTATCAGAAGGCGATTGCTAATTATCGTGAGGAGAATGAGATAAGCGGAGCCGGGCAGCAAAAAGGGAGTTAAAACGTTGCGCGATCTCGTGACCGCGAAAGCGTATTCGACGTAGCCGCCCGTACCGTGCGATTAGCGCGATATTATTACAGTTAATTTCCCTAAACCCGACATTTTCCGTCGTGCTGCATTTTGCCGCAGCGTATTTGCCACCAATTAGTAACTATTACAGAAAAACTGAAGAACGTTATAGGAATGATCTTAAATGACATCAGAAACGCAAAGTAAAAAGAAGTAGGTAATTATAAAATTTTTAATGTGTACGTTATATAAAATTATATCTCGCTCATTATGTTATATGCCCATATCAGGATTCAAACCTGAAAATTCCTGATATTTAATAAAAGAAGATAATCCCATAATCGGAATATTCAAAATAATAAAAATGGCAAATATCATTCAATCGTCATAATAGACGCAAGAAAATTGCAGGAATATAATATATAAAGAAATATATTTCCTTATATTAAAAACGCTAAAAAGGAAGCTATCGAATATTTGAAAATATAAATAATAAATAAATGTAAATTATAGGTTAAAACATTTATAACAAAACATTTAATACAAATCAAGGTTAAAAACAAGTGCAAGTTCACAGGTGGCGAATTACAGACGTGAAATCGCTGTTCCTGTTTACAACATGTACAATCGAGTTAATGTACAATCGCCGACGAAGCACGGGGATTACTTCTTTGGTTTCTTCGGGGGTTCGAGGCCGCTATCGTATTCGGAGGTGTTAAGCATTCTGACTCTCTTCAACAACCCCGCTCTTTTCTCGTCGCCGTCTCCGATCCTCTGCTTCTTCTGCGGCACCCCATCAGATCTGGAAGCGAGAGTAGCCGCACTTTAATTCTCACATTAGGACTAACCCGCAATTTTCGATAATTCGACGTAAACGACATGTGGTGAGGACAGAGCGCGGTAATCGGAAATTGAGGCAAAAAAAAAATTGAAGAAAAAAGAAAACAGGACGCGCGCGCGCATCAAAACGCGACGATACACCCCGCGGACGAACGGAGGTGGGCTTCCACCAACTGCCGTACCAAATTTCATGTCCGCCACTACGTTTTTGTCCACCGCTGAGAGTCACGCACGAAATGCGCGTTATCATGTTTTATGGTCTGTAATAGCAATTCCCGTTTAATCGATAATTCATATATAAGTTTCGCTATTAATTTCGTAGTAGTAATCGACATATTTTTTAAGTAAATAGAATTGTATTTAAAATAATAAACATAATATATATATAATACGAATAAAAAAAAAGAGATGAAAAAATATTATTCAAAATTATCACATTATCCATATGATAAAAAAAATATATATATATATAAACAGTGAAACTTAAATAAAGTAATTTAAACAATTTAGTTCGACTAATTCATGTAAAGCTGTTTCTGAAATTAGATAAATAGTAGGTATTCGATTAAATGCTATAAATGAAAAATAAGAAAAAATATAAATCTATAACACTGACTGTATTCTATCTGTCCAAGTCGCAGAATAACACTTCCAGCTGCAAAGTATCGAAACTATGAAAATTTTCGTCGATCTTACAGAGGTCCTGTAGTAGAGTGTAAGGAGGACGATGTGAAACTGCATCGAGCACACACATGCATGGGCAAACGCACTTGTGCTAAGACACGCACACAAACATATAGGTAATCGCACCCACAGAGGCGTACACCATAGTCGTCTCTCGATCCATTGGACCGTCAGCTCAGTGCCCGCCTTTCACCCATTAAAACTGACTCGTTCTCTCCCCGTGCGGAGGGCACCAGTCGGTTGCCCGTCGTGCTCACCCAAAGCACGCCCATTCAAATCGCATTAAACACGTTAATGCGTAATGCCGGTCTCGGGGAAAAAGATTCGCCGCGTAACGCGAAAAAAAGGGCACATAGATGAGACGGTGTAAAAGGGAAGAGAAAGAAACAGAGAGAGAGAGAGAGAGAGAGAGAGAGAGAGAGAGA